AACTACTGTAGGTTGTGTGTATAAGGAGTATATAAGACACATCCTAACCTTGTGTTCAGACTTGGGCCTCATCCCCAAGATATCTCATTACATACGTGTTAATATTCCAGACTCCAAAAAATATAAAACATTTCTAGTTCCAAGTATTTTGGATAAAGGATACTAAACCTGTATTATTATTATTATTGTTATTATTATTATTTACATGGTTGACTTGATTAAAATGCTCTATCAATGCATTAATGTATCTATTAGGTTTTCTTTTTTGAGTTTATCACCTTTTAGATGGTTCTATCTCTATTTTGCTAGGTCTCTTGCAATCCCATGTCTCTATATGGTAGGCACCTGCTATTGTTTTCCAGATGAGGATACAGAGGCTCAGAGAGTTCCATGCACTTACCTAAGGTAGTATGGACGACAACCTCTGCTGCCTGCATACACACACTTTTAGATGCTGAGCCTGAAAGTTTCCTATCATGGTGCACAATAAGATTCAGCCTTGAAGGGAAACTCATAGTCAGCATTTCTTCTCTCAGCTCTGTAATGTATCAACAGCCATCCACACCCATGACTTCCAGGCTCGGTTTGATCCTGTCTTGCAGAGCTACTCCAGAGGATACATTTTCACAAAGGTCAAGATTTGGAATGCCATGTCAGAAGGCAGTTTCCTTACAGTCTACACCAAGGAGAGGCACACTCCCTTAATCCGTAAGCACCAAAACTGGAGCCAGATATCCTGAGTTCAAATCTCTGCTCAGGCCCTTGAGTAACAACTCCTGGGAAAGCAGCTTAGCTTCTTAGAGCTTTATTTTTTGTTTCTAAAATTGGTACAAAATCCTTTTTATCAAGACATTACCATGGGGGTTAAATGAGTATGTCTGTTGAGAGTACTTTGTAAATTGTACCAAAAGAGAAATTATTACTTTTTCAGGGATGTGAAGTCCCCTTCTGGCAAACCACTGAATCCACACATTTGTACAAAAAGTCAACAGAGACAATTTCCTAACACAGAACTAACTGAAGGTCCAGACGGCTGGAGGAATTTGGAAAAGACTTGTTACGATGGCTGTTTATAGCTAAGACACTGAATCAATCGAAGCACCCAATGACTGATGACTGGATTGAGTAAATGTGGCACATATACACAAAGGAATACTACTCAGCCATAAAGAACAGTGAGATCCTGTCATTAGATATGAACTGCATGAATTTAGGAGATTTAATGCTAAGCAAAATAGGCCAGACTATGAAAGAAATGGGCTAGCAGGTAGTGCGAAGGTTAAGGCACATAGTTGACCACGCTTTCAGTTCTGGGCCCAGAGGCTTGAAACTCATGGTGGGCATGTGTGCATGCATGCCCAAAACCTTGAGAGGGGAATGGAGGAGATGGGATTGCAGCATGGCCATCACTCCTAGGGGTTGATTTCTTGCTTTCTCTTGTGAGTGCACACACTGAACAGTAAAAATATCTCTTTCAAAAAAGAAAGACACACATGGTATATCTCTGGTCAATACATACTAAATGTCTGTGTTCTAAGTAGAAATTGAAAGATTCAAAGACACAAGGGTAGGACTACTGCAGATACCAGAGACAAGGAATGGGAGGTGAGAGAGGAGCTCAGGAAAGAGCATTTAACAGACACGAAAATGTAAATAGGTTATAGAATGGCATACCACAATAGCAATACAAAAAAGGACATTATCAATCATATATACATATCTCAAAAAAATCAACCTAGTAGAGTAAAATTTGAAGGTACACAACATAATACAATGTCTTGTTGAAGATGATGAATATGGTCACATCCTTGACTCGATTGTCATTATGATATAAATGCTTTAAAACAAAACACATTGTATACCACAATGATGTACAACAATTAAGTGTAAAGAAGAAATTATAAAAGGTTTAAAAAGATGAATGTTCAAGTCTGGAAAAGTAGGGAGAGCCGAGATGTGGAAGAAGGACAGTGATTTGTCCTTACTGGTGTGGAAGATGAAAACAGACAATGGGCAACTTCACCTAAAACTCATCCAAACACTAAGTATAACCTCTGAGAGTACTTGATTATAGGGGCTGTTTTATGCCTTTGGTTCATTCCACAAAACATGTCCTTGAAATACAGAATTTGGAATACAGAATTTGAGTAAATGATATTAATATCAATCCTAGTTCTGCTAAGTTGTCACTCTGCTACACAGGGGAGATAATTCAGAAAGGGGTAACAAAACAGTATAATTGACTAGGAAAGGGAATAGACCTTATTTAAAGAATTTTTTAAATTTAAATTTTATTTACTATTTATTTGCTATAGGATGCATTCACTCACCAGAGAGAGACAGAGAGAAAGAAAGCGAGAAAGCAAGCTGCCAGGACTGGGCTTCGAATTGTGGTCAGCCGCGTGGGAGCCCAGTGCTTTAACCACCACACCACCTGCTGGCCCCTTCAACCTTATTTAAATACCGCGTGAGGATATTGGTGGAGACCCTCTGTGGGGTTTGTGTGGCAGTGACAGAGGACCATTAAGTGGCGTTCTCACACCTATGAACTAAAGGCAGAAAACTGTGGCGGCCCCAGCAGCAGCAGCAGGGAAAGGTGCTGGGCAGTGCATCCCAGCTCCACACGCCGAGGGAGACAGGCCTTGTTCTCAGCTCAAGTTCAAGATGAAGGACGTGCCGCACATGCACATGGGTTTCAGGTGACATTGCTCAGAAAAGGGGACATGGGCCTTTTCCTGATTAATCACGAGGCTAAAAGCTGAAGAACTCAGATGCAAGCAGTCTGCTGGCAGGAAGGGAAAGATTCATGCAGCATTACAAAGGCAGCAAACAGGGACCAGCAGCTGGCATAACGGCTATGTCGCTGGACTCCCACATGGTCGACCATGGTTTGAGTCCTGGACCCAGTGGCTTAAACTCACACTGGACACATGTGTGTTAGCCCAAGATCCTGAGAGAATGAAGGAGAAGGGATTGTGGTGTGGCCATCCCCTCTGGGGGATGATTTCTTGCTTTCTCTCTCTCCGCCTCTGTCTTTCTGGCAAGCGCACACACCCTATAGCAAAAACCTCTCCCCCTCCCCTGCCAAAAAAAAAAAAAGGTAGCAAACAGGCATTTGCTATTTTCAGTACTTTGGTGAGTAGTCTGGAGCCTCTCACAAAGACATGAAGACTGCCCTGGAAGTAAAAGGCCTGGAGCTCAGAGGCTGATCATTTCTTAGGAGATAACATCGGGGAAGTCTGAACGACCCCAAGAAGAGCATGGACTGCCTATGATTTTGTTGTCTTAACAGTTTAATGGATAGAAAATGCACAACTCACAGATCTAAGTCTTGTATCAGCTGTTCTTTTTCTACCTCCCTTCCTGAACAGCAACAGTGAAGTCACACCTTAGACGGAGATGGAGGGACCGAGCTGGTTAACAGAGCGTGACAAAGCAGATGGTGTGCTGGGGGAGCGACCTGGGTCTGATTTACAAAACTGAAGGTTGCCTAAGGCCAACCTGTCTTTTGAAGTTTTCGAGGTCTAGAAACTTCTTAGATGTTCTCCCTCTTATTTTAAAAGTGCAGGATATCCAAGTGGTAATTCATTTCCAATATATTTGAGCCATTTTATTTAAGCCCTTGTATGCTTAATGCCTTTGTCACGTTCTAGCTCTGACCTTAAGAAGTGGCAGCTTCTAGTAAGAAACAGGGATTGAGGGAAATGGCAAATTGGCGCCCTGGAAAATGTGAAATAGCCCTGCGTGCATTACTGTGTAATGAGGTGGAAGACACTGGGGAGAGGACTGCAAGGGAGGAGCTGAGCACAGACCCCCGGGATTGGCTCCGATGACAAAGGGGTGTGGAGGAGGGGGGTTGACTGGGTTCTACCTCTGCGTGGTTTTGGCAGCATGATGTGTATAAAAGCATGTGTGTAATTGACCTCAAACAGGTATGGTTTTAAAGCAAATCAACCAACTAGATAAGAAAGGAAACTTCATTTTTAGGTCTGCTTATCTGCTCCATGTAGGAGTTTTGGTGAACTTCAGACCTCTCTGAACCTCCATTTCCTCCATGTTCCTACTGGTGCTATTTAGACCCCAGCCTCTTTTCGGGTATACAGCGAAGCTCCTACTGCTACAGGACTGAGGAAGTCCCATGCAAGCCCAACATGGTTCGGTCCACACCAGGCTCTGAGAGCAGCGCCAGCAACACTCCTTCCATTTCTCCCTCCTTACTCCTGAGCTCCGCGCGGGAGAGGGTTAAAATCACTGGGCACCAACAAATCCTTTTATGAAACCAGCTATGAAAATCTGTGTAAACCATCTGTTTCTCTGACTGATTTTTCTTCCAGTGTTTTTCTTTCATGTGTTCTTTGCTAACAACAGAAAATCTATTCTAAAATAACCAAGATGTTATGACTAAAAATGCCAGAGGTATATATCCAGCTTAGGAGAGAAATTGCTTTCTAAAGAGGAGTTAGGTTTATCTTGTGTGGAGGAAGGCAGCCTTGCCACAAATATTATAGTTGCACTAAGAAAATAACCAACCACTTTCATTAAAAGAGTATGTGACAAGATTTGTATTTGTTCATGTAATTGAATTTAATGCTGCTGAAATTTTTCAGACCTGAAAGCTAGAGACATTTAGACCATTTTTTTTCCCTTGACATTGAGGAAAACTATCTAAGAAATTGTCTCTCAGCCCATATACAGGAGGTCTTCTGCTGACCTTCAAAAGGTCATGGTCCACCATGGGATATATTTGCCTAGAACCAAAAAGATGCCTCCAGAAATATTTTTGTTTTCTTCTGAGAGGAAGACCATGTGACAAGGTCCACATTTATAGAGAGGCTCTGCTATGACCTGCTGTTTCTATTCCAGCCAATAGTATTGCAAGAGGATTTCCCCATCAAAACCAAGCAGCTCACTCTCACCCACACGCCTCCTTGCCTCATTGTCGTGGTAACGTGGGGCTTTCTGCAGGAGCCCCATCCCTACTGAAGGTGCTCCTGTCTCACCTGGGTTCACCTTGGTTGATGGACATATAAATCTCCCATGAATTCTCCTCTGGGATGGCTCCATGTGGTATGAGTAAACTCACCCCTAAAAGAGAAAAGGCCAACAGGTTACTCACAGATTTCCCAATGATCTTGCAATGAAGACCTCACTTGCACACATTACAGAGGCTCCCCAAAAGGGCCTCCTCATGGTAATTTGTGAAATGCCAATCCTCAGAAAGTCTAAGGAGCCCACATATCACAATCCGGTAGAAAGCACTGTAATGGTGACCTAAGGAAGGGCACTCTCTTCCACTGAATACACAAATTAGTTTTGTCAAAGATTTCCCTGCATTGTTTAATCCTCTTAGAAGACTGGATGACCTAAAATAAGGCACTTATCAAAAATATCTGAGAAGAGTTTATCAATGTGTCAGTAAATCTGCTCCACAATTTAAAAATACATTTCCCTATCTTTTCTCTATCCTTTGATTTGCCTGAAAAGGTTGCTGGGATGACAGAGCTCTAATACTTCGGTAGAAACAGGTATGAATTGTTAGAAATTGTGCATCTGGAAGTATGTTGAGTGGTGCTCAGTGGAGCACTGTATTTGTCCAGAAAGTGACAGAAATTAAAAGTACCTGATCAGTGTAGGAAAGTCATAGGTTATTGTGTAGCCAACATAGCCTTGAATTTGCAAATGGAAGCTAGAACCAAGTATAACTTAATCATGTTCATGTCAAGGACAAAGTGACAAAACTCAGCAGCTAATTTAGAAAATTATCTAATGCAGAGAAGGGAGGTCCAGGAGACCACACCCACTGCCTTCAAAATGTCCTTCTGCCTCATGAACACTATGGAGAAATCTTTCACTTTGGCCAACAGAGGAAGGTCTGAAGAGGGCAGAGAGTCTCCTCCTTGTAGCTTCTTGTTACACAAAAGAAACAGAGCGACAGCGATACCTGTACTAAATACAATCTCAGGGCCTCCTCCTATTCTTTGAATAACATAGCTCTCCCTTTTCTACCTCACATTAGAGCTAATGTTATCACTCAGAAAGCTTTCAGAGTGCTGATGCTAATTCAAATCTAGAGATGGCAGGCTTTACTGATACCCTTCTATGGGTCTGTCAGCAGCTACAGAGTCTAGAAATTCAAGGCTCGTTGCGAAACAAGTTATTTGTGATTCACTTTTAAAAGCATTCTTCAGTAACAGTCTAGTTATCATCAGTATCTTTCACTAGCACTAGGACTGAAGCACATTTAAATCTTGCTTACAGCTTCTCAGCAAGGAGATCTATTTACATTTTGGACCTTAATGTCAATAGTAAGAGAACCATAATTGCCATACTTAGGAACCTCCAGTTAGGCTCCTCCTTCCATTTTCAATTCTTCCTTAAATGCAGTTGCCACATGAAGTGACCTCCATCGCATATCCTTTCTTGCTGCTGAACAGAAGTTGTCCAACATGGGAGTCCATGTGTTTGGAATGTCAACCTGAATGCATGCCCTTGAGATTTTGCTTTCTCGTAGTTTGAGGCCCTCTTGGCCATTCTGACCACAGAAACATGCAGTCCTTACTCCTGGGTGTGGAAAAGCAGACACCATCATCAACCACTGATACATGCTACATTAATAGTGCTAGCTCAACCCCTGGTAACAGAGTAAGAACTCAACAGACGTACCGCAAATGCATGAATAAGTGAATGAATGAATGAGGACCACTTAAAGTTTTGGGTAACAAAGCCAGGAGGCAGCATGGTAGTTAAGGCACCCATATGACCAACAGTGGTTTGAGTCCTGGACTAGGTGTCTTGAAAGTCACACAGGGTGCATGTGCATGTGTGTGCAGTATCCCAGGAGGAGAAGGGACTGCAACATGGCCATCTGCCCGAGGGAATGATTTCTCATGTTCTCTCGCTCTGTCTCTCTGTGGCAAGCTCATAAACCCTATGTCAAAAATCTAAAATAATAATGATAATAATAATACTCTGTGCAATGTTATGTCCTACAGGTCACCAAGAAGAAGTGTGTGAGGAACAGGAGCGAAGGCTGTCTGCAGATCCCTTTCATTCCTTTCATGCCAGCATAATCCCTTGTATTTAGATTGAAATATTGCTTGTACAACTCCTAGATTCAGCTGGAATCTACAGAGTATTAGCGCTTTCAGCTATTTTCTCTCTTCTTCAATCAGAAATTGTATTACTAGCCTTTAAACATACACACAAGCTGTATGTAGAGACTAAAGGCAGTCCAATATAAAGGCCAAGGTCATGGGGTGTGGGGTGAGTTCTCAGTTATGAAAAGTGGGAGGCACAGGGGAAGACTTTATGCCAACAGTCCCCTAAGGAAGTATCTATTTTCAATATGTCACTTACCAGTTATCTCTGATTAAAGAAAAATATACTCTCCTCAAACTCCACCTGCTACCCTGACAGCCTTTTATTTGATATGACAACAGAACCACCTGTCTGAGCTTCCTGTTTCATATTTTGCATAATTAATGATTTCTAGAGTATAGAGACCACTCCAGTCTTTTCGAGAATCATTTCCAGGTACCATAAGACAGTCAGGGATAGACAGCATTAGGACAATCTAATGTCTGTGCCTCATGTTCTTCACACTTTGACTCCCTAAGGCATATTTTGCATTCATGTCCTACAAATAACAGAGCATACATTTCGATTCCTCACACTCACATTTTCTCAAACCTTTTGCCAGTGAATAGCTCCAATTTTGCCCCATGCTCCTTGTCACAAGTTTTGAAATCTCTTCTATCATGGAGGAGCTACTCAGGACTCATTGAAACTTTATTTTCAACATGAATGCTCCTCAAATCAGAGGAAAACAAGTCTCTAGTCCATTGTGAATTCATCTCCTCACTCTCTTTAGTGAACATTAAATAAATATGCCCAAAAAACTGGGCTGGTTTAGGCATATCTTCCATGTATGTGTATGTACATATACACAGAAGGCATCTTGGCCAATCTACTCAACCAGTAGCTAATAACCAATCTACTCAATGACTACTGAGAGACTTCTAAGTGCCAAGCATGAGTTAGAGGAGATAAGGTAAATGTGCAATAATTCGATGTACAACTCTATGTGTTTCTGATGTGTATATCCTATTTTCTTTGTGAGGGCATGCATTTCATCTTTTATTTATGTTAATCTGACCCATACTTCTCTAACTCATGGATTTTTATGGGTAGGAAAACTATGGTTGGCTCATAGACCCTCCTCTCTATAAAGTACACCATGAAGAACGGCATCCGGGGACCCAGCAGTTAGCATGATGGCTATGTCGCTGGACTCCCATCTAGTCGACCGCAGTTCACGTCCTGGACCTGGTGGCTTAAAAAAACTCACGCTGGGCATGTGTGCATGCGTGCCCAAGATCCCAAGAAGAGAATGAAAGAGAAGGGATTGCAGTGTGGCCATCCCCCGGGGGGTGATTTCTCGCTTTCTGTCTCTCTGTCTCTCTCTGACTGTCTGGTGAGCACACGTCCCCTGTAGCAAAAACCT